ACATGAGGGAAATTTTTCTGATTCCTTGTAGGCCTGAAACCCCCTTTTTATTTTTGCTTTTTAGAGACTGGGTCTCGCTTTGTCGCCCAGACTAGAGTACAGTGACACGATCTTTGCTCACTGCGGCCTCAAACTCCTCGGCTCAAGGGATCCTCCCACCTCAACCTCCTGAGTAGCTGGGACTACAGGTGCATACCACCACCCACAGCTAATTTTTTAATTTTTTGTAGAGACAGGGTTTCTTAATAATGATGTGTCAGTATGGATTAATTAATTGTAATAAATGTACTACAGTCATGTGATATGTTAATAACAAGGAAATGGGTTCAGGGTATATGGGGGACTCTTGGTATTAGGTTCTCACTTTTTCTGTCCATCTTTTTTCTTTCTTTCTCTTTTGAGGCAGTTTCACTGTTGTCCCCCAGGCTGGAGTGCAATGACACAGTCTCCACTGAGTGCAAGCTCCACCTCCTGGGTTCAAGTGATTCTCCTGCCTCAGCCTCCCAAGTAGCTGGGATTACAGGCACCCACCACCACACCTGGCTAATTTTTGTATTTTTAGTAAAGACAGGGTTTCACCATGTTGGCCAGGCTGGTCTCGAACTCCTGACCTCAGGTGATCCACCTGCCTCAGGGTCCCAAAGTGCTGGGATTACAGGCAGGAGCCACTGCACTCGGCCTAATTTTTCTGTACCTCTAAAATCATTCTAAAAAATAATGTTCATGGCCGGGCGCGGTGGCTCACGCCTGTAATCCCAGCACTTTGGGAGGCCGAGACGGGCGGATCACGAGGTCAGGAGATCCAGACCATCCTGGCTAACACGGTGAAACCCCGTCTCTACTAAAAAATACAAAAAACTAGCCGGGCGAGGTGGCGGGCGCCTGTAGTCCCAGCTACTCGGGAGGCTGAGGCAGGAGAATGGCGTGAACCCGGGAGGCGGAGCTTGCAGTGAGCTGAGATCCGGCCACCGCACTCCAGCCTGGGTGACAGAGCGAGACTCCGTCTCAAAAAAAAAAAAAAAAAATGTTCATTAAAGCATGAAAAATGGGTGGTCGGTCACAGCAATTCACAAGGTCAGGAGTTCGAGACCAGCATGGCCAACATGGTGAAATCCTGTCTCTACTAAAAATACAAAAATTAGCCAGGCGTGGTGGTGCACGTTTGTAATCCCAGCTACTCGGGAGGCTGAGGTGGGAGGATTGCTTGAGCCCAGGAGGTCAAGGCTGCAGTGAGCTGTGATTATGCTACTGCCCCTCAGCCTGAGTGACAGAATAAGACCATGTCTCAAAAAAAAAAAAACAAAAATGAAAACCAGAAACAGAACCCCCCCCCCACAAAAACCCTTGAAAAATCAAAAAGCAACTGGAGAGAGGGAATAATAGCTAGCGGCTCAAAGTGTACCTTCTGTGAGGATGAGACTGGAGATGCTTCCCCGCTCCCCGCCCCAGCAACAGGGTTATCTTCAGACGGCAGGAGGAGAGGACGTGCAAGCGGGTGAGACAGATCTCTCTGTGGCAGGAAGCTGAGGGTTCACACCTGTTGGCCTCAATTTTTCCTGAGACAGGAGAGGTGGGCTGTGTGCAATGAAACTGTGGGTTGCAAGCGATGAAGACTTGGAGATCCCCCAAGAGAAGCGCAGGAGAAACCTGACCGGGGCAAAAGAGCAGTTTCCTCTCCCAGCACTGATGAGAAGAGATAAAACTTCAGTTTGTGCAGGGGCTGCCCCAGGTGAACAGCATCAAGCAGCAGGGCCTTAGCCCAACTAGAGGCCTGACTTAAGCGCTTCATGGGGTTCCATTTTTTTTTTTTTTTTGAGATGACAGAGTCTTGCTCTGTCCCCCAGGCTGGAGTGCAGTGATATGATCTGGGCTCACTGCAACCTCCACCTCCCAGGTTCAAGCGATTCTCCTGCCTCAGCCTAGAGTGGCTGGGATTACAGGCGCACGCCACCACGCCCGGCTAATTTTTGTATTCCTTTTTTTTTTTTTTTTTTTTTGAGACGGAGTCTCGCTCTGTCGCCCAGGCTGGAGTGCAGTGGCCGGGTCTCAGCTCACTGCAAGCTCCGCCTCCCGGGTTCACGCCATTCTCCTGCCTCAGCCTCCGGAGTAGCTGGGACTACAGGCGCCCGCCACCTCGCCCGGCTAGTTTTTTGTATTTTTAGTAGAGACGGGGTTTCACCATGTTAGCCAGGATGGTCTCGATCTCCTGACCTTGTGATCCGCCCGTCTCGGCCTCCCAAAGTGCTGGGATTACAGGCTTGAGCCACCGCGCCCGGCCAATTTTTGTATTCTTAGTAGAGACGGGGGTTTCACCATGTTGGCCAGGCTGGTCTCGAACTCTGGACCTCAAGGGATACGCGCCCGCCCAGGCCTCCCAAAGTGCTAGGATTACAGCCGTGAGCCGCGCGCCCGGCCTGGAGTTCCACTTTTTGACCAGAAGAGGGCGCCGGGATTCCACGTTTGTTCTTCACGATCCACGTTTCTCTTTCCAAAGTTGCTGAGGTTTGGATTTCGGAGTAAAAAGTTCCCTTCTGAGTTCGCCACAGTGATGGCGGGAGGCGGTGGGAGGGTCGGCGAGGGCCTTGCTCCTTTGCTTGTTCACCCCGGTGGGGAGCCAGGGAGAAGAGTGTGGGAACTGGATGAAGATGTCGGCGGAACGGTCACCCGGAAACGGGAACGCGGCTCTGAACGTTGGAAGAGAAGCTGCAGCTGGAAAGAGACATTTGACCTTGAAGGAGTTGTCGGAAGAAGAGGAGCCGATCAAAAGAGGCGGAAAAGGAGTGAGTGGGGAGAGATGCCAGGGAAAGGAGCCCAGTGCCCGCCGGGCAGGTGGCTCGGCCTGTAGTCCCAGCGCTTTGCCAGGCGAGGCGCGCGGAGTTCGAGACCAGCCTAGCCGACAAAGTGAGCCCCACCCACCCCCATCTCTACGAAAATAAAATATAAAAATAAATTAGCCGGGCGCGGTGGCTCACGCCTGTCATCCCAGCACTTTGGGATCAAGGCCGAGGCGGGCGGATCGCGAGGTCAGGAGATCGAGACCATCCTGGCGAACACGGTGAAACCCCGTCTCTACTAAAAATACAAAAAAATTAGCCGGGCACGGTGGCGGCGCCTGTAGTCCCAGCTACTCGGGAGGCTGAGGCAGGAGAATGGCGTGAACCCGGGAGGCGGAGCTTGCAGTGAGCTGAGATCCGGCCACTGCACTCCAGCCTGGGCGGCAGAGCGAGACTCCGTCTCAAAAAAAGAAAAAAAAATTAAGTAAATAAAGTAATTGAGAACGGAAGCTTTGCAGTCCAGGAGAACTTACTGAGACTCAGTTTTCTCATCTGGAAACGGGGCGACGGATAACAAGGACCGTGCAGAATCCCCCCACGCGGGCGCCCCCGGCTCAGAGCCCGGCCCTGGGAGGCTGGAGCCGAGGGAAGCTCCAGGAGCGGGGTCTGCAGCCCCGGCGCCTCCCGCGACCCCCACTTGCCGCGGGATTCAGGCGGGTGGCGACCCCCGAGTCCCTCCCCTGGGGCGCCTCCCGACGCGTCCCGGTCCCGGTCTTAGCTCGTAAATCTCCTTCACACAGAGACCCATAAATCAGGGGCCGGCGGAGGGACCCCCCAGCTCCCTGCCCCCGCCCCACTCCTGGAGAGGCGGGGGGCGCAGGAAGCCCCTGGGATGGGGGCCGTGGCTTGTTAATTACAGGTCGTGGGGCCTGATTTATGGGGGGCGGGCCGCGTGCTGCGCGGGGGCTGGGCATGTCTGGGGAAGCCCAGACGGGTTCCAGGAGGCCTGAGGGGCTCCCAAGTTCTTAGGGCCTTGTTGAAAGGACAGTCTGGAGAGTCATCCACCATAACATGTTCCTACGTAAATAAAATATAAACGTAGTAATACGCATGGCTAACGCAATGGAGAGAGTGTGTGCCCAGCTGTGCTAAACACTGTATCAACTCACCAAATAGTTACTGAATGCCTATTGGGTGCCAGGAATCTTGCGTGTATATATATTATCTGCTGAATGTCACCAGGCAGCTCTGAAAGTCGTTATGGTTCCCATTTTGCAGATGGAGAAATCAAAAGAGAAGTGATTGATTTGTCCAAGTTCCCTTGACTAGTGAGTAGTGGGTTCAGGAATCGTACAGGACTCTGTCCTCCAAGCTTAACCTGCTTGGACTAGGTTATTTTACCACCTGCTTCGCTGGCTTCCTGCTCCACCCATGAGCTGCCTGACATTGAGCAAGTGTCTTAGCCTCTCTGAGCCTCAGTTCTCCTCAGGAATAAAAGAGCATTCTGCCCTACCTAACACACAAGGAGTTAGGAGGATCCAATTTAAAGGAAATTTATGAAAGTGCTTTAAAAATTCTCTCAAGTTCTACATGAGGCTGGGCATGGTGGCTCACGCCTGTAATCCCAGCACTTTGGGAGGCTGAGGCGGGTGGATCACAAGGTCAGGAGTTTGAGACCAGCCTGGGTAACATGATGAAATCCCATCTCTACTAAAAATACAAAAATTAGGTGAGACAGGTGGTTCACACCTGTAATCCCAGCTACTTGGGAGGCTGAGGCAGGAGAATCGCTCGAACCCGGGAGGTGGAGGTTGCAGTGAGCCGAGATCACACCATTTCACTCCAGCCTGGGAAAAAAAAGAAAATTCTATATGAAAGAGTATTAGGCCGGGCGCAGTGGCTCACGCCTGTAATCCCAGCACTTTGGGAGGCCGAGGCGGGTGGATCACGAGGTCAGAAGTTTGACACCAGCCTGACCAACATGGTGAAACTCTGTCCCTACTAAAAATATAAAAATGAGCCAGGCATGATGGCGTGTGCCTGTAGTCCCAGCTATTCAGGAGGCTGAGGCAGGAGAATCGCTTGAACCCGGGAAGCGGAGGTTGCAGTGAGTGGAGATTGCACCACTCTCCAGCCTGAGTGACAGAGCGAGACACCGTCTCAAAAAAAAAAAAGAGTATTAGTTTAAGGTGACTTTAGGTACTGTAATGGATAAATCCCCAAATCTCAGTGGCTTAAACATGAAGATTTATTTCCTGCTCATGGAGTCTCATGTGGTGTCTCTGGTCAGGCAGTATTCCTGGGCAGCTCTCCTCCTGCCACGATGAGGGCCCCAGACTTCTTCCTCTTGTCTTCAGTTTGTGGCCCCCATGGCTGGCCTAGGGGACCTGAAGCCTGCAGGACGGGACATGGAGGCTGCACAGGTATTGGAGGGAAGTTCGTATGGGTGGGCCTGCAAGTGGCACGCATCAGTCCTGCTCACAGTCACCGGAGAACTCAGTCAACTGCAGGAAAGCCTGGGAATGGAAGAACTGCTGCATTCATTACATCTTGCCGAGTAACAGACGACCTCAAAACCGACTGCTTTAAAACAACCATAAACATGTGTTAGTTCAGTTTCTGTGGGTCAGGGTTTTAGGAGCGACCTTCCTGGGTGGTTCCCTCCTCTTCTTGTTCATGACGGAGGATGCATGTGAGTCCTAGAGCTCCTGCAGCCCTTTTGCCACTATGAGGTAAGCCACCTTGAGAAAGAAAATATGAGTTAGGCACGGTGACTCACACCTGTAATCCCAGCACTGTGGGAGGCCAAGGCGGGTGGATCACGAGGTCAGGAGTTCAAGACCAGCCTGGCCAACATGGTAAAATCTAAAAATACAAAACTTAGCCGGGTATGGTGGCACGTGCCTGTAATCCCAGGAACTTGGGAGGCTGAGGCAGGAGAATTGCTTGAACCTGGGAGGCGGAGATTGCAGTGAGCTGAAATCCTGGCCACTGCACTCCAGCCTGGGCAACAACAGAGCAAGACTCCGTCTCAGAGAAAAAAAAAAAAAAGCGAGAAAGAAAATACGGAGAAGAGATATGAAATAATCACAGAAGAAGAGTTATAGACCAGGCGAAAGGATAATCAAATTCCTGTGGAAGTGTAAAGAGCCAAGAACACCCAAGAGAATTCTGAAAGTGAAAAACAAGCCGGGCGCGATGGTTCATGCCTGTAATCTCAGCACTTTGGGAGGCCGAAGCAGGCAGACCACAAGGTCAGGAGATCGAGACCATCCTGGCTAACACAGTGAAACCCCATCTCTACTAAAAATGCAAAAAATTAGCTGGGGGTGGTGGTGGGCGCCTGTAGTCCCAGCTACTTGGGAGGCTGAGGCAGGAGAATGGTGTGAACCAGGGAGGAGGAGCTTGCAAAGAGCCGAGATCGCGCCACTGCACTCCATCCTGGGCGACAGAACGAGACTCCGTCTCAAAAAAAAAAAAAAGAAAAAGAAAACCGAGACTGCAAGATTGCCTAGCCAGATAGGCATTACCCAGAAATGGTTGGAGGTGGCATGGCGGATATGTGGCATTACAAATCACTGGAGGCAGGGTGAACAGGTCACCAAAAGGAGTTGGAAAGATTGGTAACTGGGTTCCAAGGATGACAATAATAATTAAAGCAATAATAATACTGGCAATAGGAATGTAGTAATGGATGCCATTTATTGACACCTACAAAGTGTTAGAAATATACTTTTTTTTTTTTTTTTTTTTGAGGCAGGGTGTCACTGTGACCCAGGCTAGAGTGCAGTAGCTCAATCATGGCTCACTGAAGCCTCCACTTCTCGGGCTCTAGCTGGGACCACAGGCACGTGCCACCATGCCCAGCTAGTTTATTTATTTATTTTTTTTTAGAGACAGGATCTTGCTGTGTTGCCCAGGCTGGTCTGGAACTCCTGGCCTCAAGCAATCCTCCTGCCTTGGCCTCCCAAAGTGCTGGGATGACAGGTAGGAGCCACCATGTCTGACCAGAAGTCTACTTTTCGCTTCTCCACAAGGGAGGTGTCATCTTTTTTCCTTTTTTTTTTTTGAACACAGTCTCGCTCTGTCACCCAGGCGGTGCGATCTCAGCTCACTGCAAGCTCCGCCTCCTAGGTTCAAGCAGGTAATACCTGTCTGCCTCAGCCTCCCAAGTAGCTGGGATTACAGGTGCACACCACCAGACCCGGCTAATGTTTTGTATTTTTAGTAGAGATGGGGTTTCACCTTGTTGGTCAGGCTGGTCTCAAACTCCTGACCTCATTATCTGCCCTCCTAAGCCTCCCAAAGTGCTGGGATTACAGGCACGAGCCACTGTGCCCGGCCTATAATTCCTCTCAAACAGATGAGAAAGCCGAACCTCAGGAGGGTAGCGAAGATCTCTTGAGCCCACACATGGCTCTCAGCCTCTTGGGCACCAGGTAGGAACCGTTTTTCCTCCCAGTAACAGAGCCCTTTCCTGAGAGCTCCCGGCCTTCAGCAGCCCTGGGCCTGGGAGGCGGAGCTTGCTGTCCACACCAAGCCAGCACCCACCTACCTACCCCCCTACACCCGCTCCCAACTCCCCCACCCCCCCTCCACCCCTGCCCTGGCCCGGACCTGGAATTCCTTCTCCAGACTGACTCTGGGGCAGACCTAAGGCTGATTAGACCCCAGCTAACAGCACAGAGGCCTCTTTGTCATTTCTTTAATGAGAAGCCAATCGCCAGGTCATTAGTGGGTGGAGGTGATGAGCAGTTTGGTACTGGGGTGGGAGGGAGGAGAATGCTCTTGCTTCTCTGGATGATTTACAGATGCGGTGGACATGCTGGCTGGGGAAAGGAGCAGAGGGTAGAAGAGGAGAAAGTTGATATTCACAGAGTTCCTTCTGGGAGCCAGGCCCTGCACCGAGAGCATAAAAACATGGTATTTCATTTAATCCTACAGCAAACTTGATGAAGCAGTACCACCGCATACCCCATTTTACAGACAAGGAAACGGAGGCTCAAAGACGTGAAGCATCTTGGCCAAGGCTACACAGCTAGTAAATGATGAGCTTATTCCAGAACCTACACAACAGTCTGCTGTTCAGTGTTACAGGCAGGGCTGGGGTAACTGCAGGTGAAGAGCCAAGCAATATTCCAGCATTAGAGCAAGAAAGAACAAGCTGTCGGCAGGTGCTGGATTGGGGGACGCTGCTCTGTGGGCTGAGAGTGGCAGCAGCAGAGAGGACCAAATGTGTGCATGAGCTTGTTAGAAAGCAACCCTGGGGTATTGAGTATGTTCTCCAGAAAAAGGATAATAATAACAATAACTAATTATTAACTTTTTTTTTTTGAGATGGAGTCTCACTCTGTCAACCAGGCTGGAATGCAGTGGCATAATCTCAGCTCACTGCAACCTCTGCCTCCCCGGTTCAAGCGATTCTCCTGCCTCCTGACAGCCATCCTGGTCAACCTCTCTGACTCCCAAGTCAATCCCAGCTTCAAGAGGTGCAGCAGGTAACTTAACCTCTCTGACCCTCACTTTCTTCATCTGTGAAATGGATTGGTAACTGCCTCATAAGAGAGCTGTGAGCATTAAATGACACCATGCACAGAAAGCCCTTAGGACGGTACCTGGCACATTGTGGGCACTTAATAATTAGTTATTATCTGCCAGGCATGGTGGCTCCTGCCTGTAATCCTGGCACTTTGGGAGGCTGAGGTGGGCGGATCACGAGGTCAGGAGATCGAGACCATCCTGGCTAACACGGTGAAACCCCGTCTCTACTAAAAATACAAAAAGTTACCCGGGTGTGGTGGCGGGCGCCTGTAGTCCCAGCTACTTGGGAGGCTGAGGCAGGAGAATGGCTTGAACCCGAGAGGCGGAGCTTGCAGTGAGCCGAGATTGTGCCTGGGTGACAGAGGGAGACTCCATCTCAAAAAAAAAAAAAAATTATTATTATTGGCCAGGTGCGGTGGCTCACGCCTATAATCCCAGCACTGTGGGAGGCCAAGGTGGGTGGATCACCTGAGGTCAGGAGTTCGAAACAGGCCTGACCAATATGGTGAAACCCCGTCTCTACTAAAAATACAAAAAATTAGCCGGGCGTGGTGGTGGGCGCCTGTAATCCCAGCTACTCGGGAGGCTGAGGCAGGAGAATCGCTTGCCTGGGGACGCAGAGTTTGCAGTGAGCCGAGATAGCGTCACTGCACTGCAGCCTGGGCAATAGAGTGAGACTCTGTCTCAAAAAAAAAAAAAAGCAAAAAAGTCTGGGAAATTAAGGTTGGGAAACTCATAAGAATTACAGGAGGCCGGGCACGGTGGCTCAAGCCTGTAATCCCAGCACTTTGGGAGGCCGAGACGGGCGGATCACGAGGTCAGGAGATCGAGACCATCCTGGCTAACACGGTGAAACCCCTTCTCTACTAAAAAAATACAAAAAAACTAGCCGGGCGAGGTGGCGGGCGCCTGTAGTCCCAGCTACTGAGGAGGCTGAGGCAGGAGAATGGTGTAAACCCGAGAGGCGGAGCTTGCAGTGAGCTGAGATCCGGCCACTGCACTCCAGCCTGGGCGACAGAGCGAGACTCCGTCTCAAAAAAAAAAAAAAAAAAAGAATTACAGGAACCTGGGCAGCTAGACCCACGGCCAAGCCAGGAACCTCCTCTAGATGCCAGTGTGGGACGTGGAGGGCCACCGGCCCTGGCACTGGCGCCGTGATTTCTCCACTGTTACCTGTTTGTTTCTTTGGGACATCACTCCAGATTCAAGTCAGGCAGTCAAGTGCCTGGACTGGTGTCTGTCCCAGTTACCAGAAATCTCTGCCACGCAGAGCCCCACCACGGAGGCTCCCTTCTCCTCAGACAGGTAGGCTGTTCAAATGCGGCATAGGAAACAGTGATAACAAAACATCCACCACGGTGCACGCCTGCAGTCACAGCTACTCAGGAGGCTGAGGCAGGAGAATCACTTAAACCCAGGAGGCGGAGGTTGCAGTGAGCTGAGATTGCGCCACCCACTCCAGCCTAGGCGGCAGAGTGAGACACCGTCTCAAAAAACAAAAATCACTGGTCGTGGGTGTCCTGGGTCCAAGGTGACCATATGCCCTGGCTTTCTTGTCCCCATGTCCATGGTTGGAACTTTGTAGAGCGCGTCTGAACTAAGGCTTCTGCTCTTAAAGGAGGATATGGAGATGACACCCCTTTTTGTCATCTGCGTTATCCCATTGGCACCCCCACATGTCAATTCTATTTTCCAAACAGGTGTTGACTCCATGCCCTTCTCTCACCGTCGCCTGCATAGCTCAGGCCCCCCCCTTCCTCCAGGATCTTTGCTTCCTAAGTAGAATTTGTCTTAACATTCATTCTCCACACTGCTCAAAGAGCTCTAGCGGAAATTCAAATACAACTGTCATTCCTCAGTTTAATAACCTTTTGCGGTACCCAGCTGCCTACAGGATGAAAAGCTTTTGGCAGGACGCCTGGTGATCTCCAACCTTGTCTCCCATCACGCCCTGGCCTCATATTTGGTGGTTTGGCAAAGTCACTTTCCTGTATTTTCCGCATCATCCTGTGACGGTTTACACTTCCAGGGCCTGGCACCTGCTGTTCCCTGTACCTCCTGTCTGCTTGGCAAACTGCTATTCATCCTTTGAAATCCAGTTCAGGGCCGGCGCGGTGGCTCACGCCTGGAATCCCAGCACTGTGGGTGGCCGAGGCGGGCGGATCACTTAAGGCCAGGAGGAGCTGGAGACCATCCTGGCCAACATGGTGAAACCCCGACTCTAGTAAAAATACAAAAAATAGCTGGGCATGATGGTGGGTGCCTGTAATCCCAGCTACTCGGGAGGCTGAGGCAGGAGAATCGCTTGAACCTGGGAGGTGGAGGCTGCAGTGAGCCGAGATCGCGCCACTGCACTCCAGCCTGGGCCACAGAGCGAGACTCCGTCTCAAAAAAAAAAAGAAAAACAGAAACGTTGTTGAATGAATGCATGAAGGGGCAGAGGCTGAAATTGCGCCCCTACGTCTCCCACACTGGGCCGCGTGTGGGTCGCCCGGGAGAGGAGGAGGCTCAGGGCTTCCTGGGACCCGCTCTCTGGAGGAGGAGGGTTCCAGGCCCCGTGGGCGGCTCCCGGACTTTCTCTCCCGGGCGTTCTGTCCTCCCTCGGGGAGCGGCGCCGGAACTTCCGGAGGAAGAGCCGGAACTTTTGAACCCCAGGCCCCGCCCGGCGCTAATAGGCACCTTCGCGGCCGCCGGCGGAGCCGCCCGACGCTAAATCACGCCGCCCCGCCCGCCCGCCGCCTCCTCCCGCCCTGGCCGAGAACTCGCGCTCCCGGGCACGGGCAGGTGCCGCGGAAATGCCGGGGCCGCCGCTCGCTTTGAAGTCGGCCGCGCCCCGCAGCGCCCGGGAGTCCCGGGTTCCAGGAGGGGGCGCTTCTCCCGGGTCCTCGGGGTTTTCACGTGGGGCCGTTTCCTGACCTGCGCGGGGAAGGGCGGGAGCGGCCGGGAAACGCCACCGGGAAACGCGCGCTGCGTGGGCATTTTCTTTGCTTTTACTTACCTTGTTTTTTGTTTGTTTTTGAGACGGAATCTCCCTCTGTCGCCCAGGCTGGAGTGCAGTGGTGCTATCTTGGCTCACTGCAACCTCCGGTTCCCGGGTTCAAGCCATTCTCCTGCCTCAGCCTCCCGAGTAGCTGGGACTACAGGCGCCGCCACCACGCCCGTCTAATTTTTGTATTTTCTTAGAGACAGGGCTTCACCATGTTGGCCAGGATGGTCTTGAACTCCCGACCTCAAGTGATCCGCCTACCTCGGCCTCCCAAAGTACTGGAATTACAGGCGTGAGCCACTGCGCCCGGCCTCTAGCTGCTTTATAATTCCACATATATTGCAGATTTGGGGGAAATAGAACCCGGGAAATGTAGATGTCCTTAGGATGGTTTCATCCTACTGGGCAAGGCAGACAATCACAGAAGTAAATACATACACTGTGCTTCCTAATGCCTTGTTATTTTCTTCTATGGAGACATTCAGTTTGAAATAATGGGGTTACTGGCAACGCTCTCTTGGCGAGATGGATGTGAACCACACACCCATTCCAATGCCACAGGCCTTGGCATTTTGGAGGCATTTGGGTTGTGACTGGGAATGAGTGGCCCTCAGGTACTCCAAATAACTCAGCTGTGGATGCCGGAAATCCCACTGGGGGTCTTTCTCTGGGAATAAACATCTTTTTTCTGAGACCCTCTTTCAAATGCAAATCCCTGGGGGAAGAGGAGAGAGGCTGCTCATTGAGTTCATAACCTGGCAGAGCTGTGTCACGAGATAGGGCTGCCCGAGGGCTCTGGACCCCAAAGATGCCCCTGATGGGGACCCAGGGCTGCAAAGGGATCTTCCCTTCACCCTCTGCTGCCGACTCAGCCCAGCTCTGTCTGCAGAAGGGGAGTCAAAGGGCAGTGGAGGGAGAGTCAGGCCTAACCAAAACCCGAACCCCAATTGCCGCCAGCCGCACTCCATAGCTGAAAAAGCCGGAAGCTCTGGGCCAGCCTTACCTGCAGGGCCCTGCCCCTCCCATTTGAGCCCTGCTGGCACACTCGTGCTTTTCCCAATGACATCTCTGTGGTTGCCCACAGGACTTGACAAGACCTTTCAAGGTTTGTTGTTGTTGTTATGAGATGGAGTCTTGCTCTGTGGCCCAGGCTGGAGTGCAGTGGTGGGATCTCTGCTCACTGCAACCTCCGGCTTCCGGGTTCAAGCCAGCCTCCTGCCTCAGCCTCCCGAGTAGCTAGGATTACAGGCACCCGCCACCACGCCCGGCTAATTTTTGTGTTTTTAGTACAGACGGGGTTTTATATACCCTGTTGGCCAGGCTGGTCTCGAACTACTGAACTCAAGTGATCCACCTGCCTCGGCCTCCCAAAGTGCTGGGATGACAGGCGTGAGCCGGCACCCAGCCCTCTGCCACTCTTTATTTCTATCAGCTTTCCTGCTAGAAGCCAAACTTAGCACTGTATCTGGGAGTGGGGAGGAAGAATGTGGAACCCAGACACCCCACAGCAGCCCCGGAGCGAGGCAGGGCAAGGTCCCCCGTGCAGCGTGGCCGGGCTGCCGTCTGGTCCCCGCTTACAAGAACCTGCAAGCTTCCCTCCTCGCTTTCCTTCTTCCCCTCGGTTCCTCCCTCGCCGACCTACCTGGAGGCCGGTAATAATGCAGGAGGAGGGAGATGGATGGATGGGAGGGCGGGGCGCCGCGTGGTGCCATAAAGCCCAGCTGGAGGGGGCCTGTCTCGGGAGTGTCCAGCCCCAGGAGCCGGGGACCGTCCGCGTAGCGAGCCGGGGCCGGGGCAGGGGGCAGACGGCAAAGGGCAGAGGGCCGGGACTGGGGCAGAGGGTGAGGGCCCGGGGAGGCCATGCTGCGGGGCGAGCCAGGACTAGGCCTCAAGGCGCGGAAGGGGGCCGAAGACTCTGCGGAGGACTTGGGGGGCCCCTGCCCCGAGCCCGGGGGTGATTTGGGGGTGCTGGGGGCGAACGGCGCTTCCCCTGGCCAGGGCGAGGCAGAAGAGCCGGCTGGGAGGAGGCGCGCGCGGCCAGTGCGGTCCAAGGCGCGGCGCATGGCGGCCAACGTGCGGGAGCGCAAGCGCATCCTGGACTACAATGAGGCCTTCAACGCGCTGCGCCGGGCGCTGCGGCACGACCTGGGCGGCAAGAGGCTCTCCAAGATCGCCACGCTGCGCAGAGCCATCCACCGCATCGCCGCGCTCTCCCTGGTCCTGCGCGCCAGTCCCGCGCCCCGCGAGCCCTGCGGACACCTGGAGTGCCACGGCCCAGCTGCGCGCGGGGACACCGGAGACACAGGCGCCAGCCCCCGGACGCCTGCAGGGCCCAGCCTCGCACGCCCAGACGCCGCCCACCCCTCGGTGCCGTCTGCGCCCCGCTGTGCCTCGTGCCCCCCGCACGCGCCCCCGGGACGGCCCAGCGCGGTGGCCGAGGGGCCGGGCCTAACCCAGGCCTCCTGGGGAAGCTGGCGCCGCTGTCCGGGGCCTTCCTCTGCTGGGCTGCCTCCCTGGCCGCGGGGCTACCTGCGAGCCGCTCCCAGGATGGGCCACCCGCGCTCCTGACCAGCCTCGAGGCACCAGCGGGGCTGGAGGGAGGCCGTGCTGGCAGCTGGACTACAAAAGCCGGGACTGCAAAGGCGTCCTGGACAAGAGCAGAACTGGACGGGCTGAGACCTGGCGTGAAAGAGACACGGCCTCCCTAGAGACAAGGAGCTCTGGGGCCTGAGGCTGCCCCCCACATCCCAGCCTGGGCCAGAGAGAAGGAGCTCCAGGGCCTGGGGCTGCGCCCCCGCATCCCAACCTGGGGAGGCATTTCCCAGAAAGGCTCAGGATCCTGAGCTCATCTTGGACTCGAACTCGTCTTGGAGCCACCTTCGCAGCCCTGCGCCTCCGAGCCCTGTGTGCTCTCGCTGCTTTTAGGAGAGTGAGGGCTTTGGGGCAGGAGGTGTGGGAGCGTGGGAGTGCGGGTGGGGCCTGCTGTGGTTTCGTGGGCACATGAGTGCGGAGTCCCCTTCCCCTGCCTGCGCTGCTGCCCAAGCCTGGTCCGGGAGAGGCAGCAGCAGCAGCCAAATAAAAAGGAAAAACTCATTTCTGTCCGATACCACGACTCCAGTGGGCCCAGTGGCCCAGGGTGGCAGGAACGCCTGAGGGCCCCGGGCTCGCCTTGGAACGCTGGGCGGGGCCTAAGGCCCACAGGTCGGCGCCTGGGGGAACTCGTTCATAGCAAGACCCCAGGTGTGGCTGAGCACTGTGGGGGCCCAAGGGGAGGAAAAAGACATCCAGAGACCCCCTCCCTGCGTCCCCTGGGGTGGGAGAGGGCATGATCAGGAGAGGGGTCAAGGGGGCCTGGGAGGGTAGGGATGCGGTCAGCCCCGTCTCTGGACCTGCCTGGAGTGAGCCACAGCGAAGGGAGAGTCTGGCCGGGTCTCAGGGAAGGAGGCCAAGGGCAGGGCTGAGGATTGGAGGCCTGTGAGTCCTGCGTGCATGTACCTCGAGCGACAGGCAGGAAGAACTCCCAGGGAACTGTGGCCCAGGGCCCCCATGATGAGGGGCCGACTTGGAACCCAGGAAGGATTCTGGGGAGGGGGTTGAGTGAGGGCAAAGGGGCCTCAGGTCAAGCCGGCTGAGCGAGTGAGAGGCACAGCCAGCTGCCCCGGGAGTTTTGTCCAGAGAGCTGACCTGCGTCTGAGACGAGCTGGTGTCTGGCCCGGATCAGGCTAAGGGTCTAATGCGGCAGGGGCTGCCTGCTAGGCCAGAGCCCAGAGGTGCTGGGGGAGAGCTGGGCTCTTGCCAACAGGAGAGGGAAGGGTTCTCCACAGCAGAGTGGGGATCCCACAGAAGCTAGAGAAACGCCATTAGGCATAAACCCAGGGAGAGTTTCCCAGAGCACGTGGGGTGAGGCCCACCACTACAATTAAAAATGCCTGTGCTGTCTGCAAACCCCAGCCCTGGCTGGCGCGCTCGGCATCCTGTCCCCAGCCACAGCCCTTAGGGTTCCCAATTGCACAGGAAGGCATGCCACAGACCACGGGAAGGCTTTGACTCTACTCAGCGGGGACGTGGGGTCTAGCCAGGAGCAGCAACACGTGAGATGCTGGCCCCAGCCCTGCCCGCCGAGCCCCACAGTGCCACGGGCTGCCAGTGGGAAGGAAAGAGCCAGGCCTGCCCCAGTCCAGCCCCTGCTCAGCCGCCTCTCTCAGCCTCTAGTTCCTCCCCTCTGACATGAATAATGATTCCAGGGTGGCTGTGAGGATTGTAAGTGGTTCGTAAAGGACCGTTTCTGGCACACAGAAGGTGTTCAAGGTGTTCACAAGCTGTAACTGTTTGTGTACTATTAGGATCTTATGAGAAACCAGCTTGGACAAGGCTGTAGCCGTGTTTCAGCCTCAGGTATTTATCATCTGGAAACATGATACAAGGACCAGCAAGTCCTGCTTTCCTAAATTCCAGGACTGAAAGAAATAAGGGGGCCGGGCACGGTGGTTCACCCCTATAATCCCAGCACTTTGGGAGGCCGAGACGGGTGGATCACCTGAGGTCAGGAGTTTGAAACCAGCCTGGCCAATGTGGTGAAACCCCATCTCTACTAAAAATACAAAAATTAGCTGGGTGTAGTAGCGCACACGCCTGTAATCCCAGCTACTCAGGAGGATGAGGCATGAGAATTGCTTGAGCCCGGGAGGCAGAGGTTGCAGTGAGCCAAGATTGTGCCACTGCACTCTAGCCTGGCCGACAGAGTGAGACTCTCTCAAAAAAAAAAAAAAAAAAAAAGAAAGAAAGAAAAGAAAGAAGTAAGGGTTCTACTCCCCCACCCTGTCACGCTCTCAGCCTGGAAATAGCAAGGACACTCCTGCAGGCAGAATGCTGGCGCAGCAGCCCCATGAGTTCCGTGGGAGGGATGTCACAGTTCTGGACTTCCGTCTCCTCACTGACCAGCTGAGTGATCTTGGGCCAATCACCTGGCGGCTTTGAGCCTCGGTGTTCCTATCTGTAAACGGGCTAGAATAAGTACTTACATCACAGGCTGTTTTGGAGACTAAATGGGACGATGAATTTAACGCACTAGCATAGTGCTTGGCCTATATAAACACTCACTGAGTGGAGGCTGTTCAGACATACTCAGTTCACAAGGTTGTTACAAGGAGAGAATGCATGGGAAGCTGTTTTATAAACTGTAAAGTCCAGGACACACTGGCTGCCATCATGGTTTTTCCAGGGCTGTGTGTTTGGGTGCACACGTTGTGTGTTTGCGTGCTGATATGTATTTGCCTAGGATTCTGAGTTTATGATATGTACATATTTTGTGTGTGTTTATATAGATGTGTGGCTGCTTGGATATTTGCGTGGGTATCCATATACGTTATCAACCTGAGAGGTGCTTCCTCATCTCTCTGATGCCACAGGGGATCCTGGGCCTGAGTAGCCTTAGTTATGTACTGTTTAGGTTTTCTGGAACCCTTGCTTGATTTTTCTGTCTGCTTCCCAAGATCATATCCATTCTCCAAGATGACTGATATGTGGTGAAGAAAAGATTTTGTGATTATTAAAAAATGATGGTTATGGCCGAGCACAGTGGCTCAAGCCTGTAATTCCAGCACTTTGGGAGGCCGAAGCGGGCGGACCACGAGGTCAGGAGATCGAGACCATCCTGGCTGACACAGTAAAACCCCGTATCTACTAAAAATACAAAAAATTAGCCATGCATGGTGGCGGATGCCTGTAGTTTCAGCTACTTGGGAGGCTGAGGCAGGAAAATGACGTGAACTTGGGAGGCAGAGCTTGCAGTGAGCCGAGATCGCACCACTGCACTCTAGCCTGGGCGACAGAGTGAGACTCTGTCTCAAAAAATAAATAAATAAAAATAATTGTGGTTATCCATTGAGATCACAGGATTTGCCCAAATATTGTTTAAAAGGCACAATGATAGGCATGAAATGCATAGAAAAAGGCAAATGCCAGAAAGGAAAGAGACAGGTGTAAGACAGAGCCACTAAGTCATGGCTCACTGTAGCCTTGACCTCCTGGGCTCAGGTGATCCTCCCACCTCAGTCTTCCTAGCAGCTGAGAATACAGGCGTGTGCCACCATGCCAGCTAATTTTTGTATTTTTTGTGAAGATGGGGTTTTGCCATGTTGCCCAGGCTGGTCTCAAACACGTGGGCTCAAGTGATCCTCCTGCCTTTGTCTCCCAAAGTGCTGGCATTACAAGTGTGAGGGGCCTGGCCTTAATTTTCTTTCTTTGTTTTTGAAATGGAGTCTCTCTGTCGCCCAGGCTGGAGTGCAGTGGTGTGATCTTGGCTCACTGCAAGCTCTGCCTCCTGGGTTCACGCCCTTCTCCTGCCTCAGCCTCCTAAGTAGCTGGGACTACAGGCGCCCACCACCACGCCCGGCTAATTTTTTTTTCTTTTTTTTTTTTGTATTTTTAGTAGAGATGGGGTTTCACCGTGTTAGCCAGGATGGTCTTGATCTCCTGACCTCGTGATCCACCCGCCTTGGCCTCCCAAAGTGCTGGGATTACAGGCGTGAGCCACCGCGCCTGACCAGATTTTCATTAGATTCTTCATCATTGTTTTTTTAAAAGGTGAAAAATTAGGCCCGGCCAACATGGTGAAACCGGCTGCAGCTGGCCCAGCTGTTGTAGGAAATTGGACCAGGATTCCCAGATCTTTATGTTAAAAGTCTGAAACTCCAATTTTTTATAAAGACAGGGGTCTTGTTCCATTGCTGAGGCTGGAGTACAGTCACGGCTCACTGCAACCTCAGACTTCTGGACTCAAGTGATCCTCCCAAACAGTGGGGAATACAAGTGCCTGGCTTGAAACCCCAATTTTAAATATGAAATAAAGTGTTTAAAAATCATGTGTTGAGGCCAGGCGCGGTGGCTCAAGCCTGTCATCTCAGCACTTTGGGAGGCCAAGGTGGGCAGATCTCCTGAGTTCAGACGTTTGAGACCAGCCTGGCCAACATGGTGAAACCCCATCTCTCCTAAAAATACAAAAATTGGCCGGGCGTGGTGGCAGGTGCTTGTAATCCCAGCTGCTCAGGAGACTGAGACAGGAGAATAGCTTGAAACCGAGAGGTGGAGGTTGCAGTGAGCCGAGATAGCACCACCGCACTCCAGCCTCGGCAACAAGGGGGAGACTCCATCTCAAAAAAAAAAAAAAAAGTTGAATCAACACTGTGCCAGCCAAACCCACCTTGTGTGATGAATACAGTCCACAGGCCTTCACGTAAGACCTAAGTGAGAAGCTGCCTGGAGCACCTGCAGACTGGAGCGGGCCCTGGGCAGCTGGCTGCACTCACAGCGGGGACCCCAAATCTGCTGCTGCCTCCCTCTTGCTCGCTCCACTCTGGTCATTCCCCTCATCACTACCTGCCACTAGGTGGCGCTGATAATCCAGCATCCTACGCGGGCGGAACGAACGGGTCCCTAATTCCCCCCACCCCAGCCGTCCAGGCAGCCTCGTGCCAGGGACTACTCTGGGGACTTCTTAGTTATTTCTTTCCTCCTTTCATGCAATCAAAAATTTAACATATAGCCAGGCGTGGTGGCTCACACCTGTAATCCCAGCACTTTGGGAGGCTGAGGCAGGCGGATCACCTGAAGTCAGGAGTTCGAGACCAGCCTGGCCAACATGGCGAAACCCTGTCTCTACTAAAAATACAAAAATTAGCCAGACGTGGTGGTGGATGCCTGTAATCCCAGCTACCCAGGAGGCTGAGGCAGGAGAATCGCTTGAACCCGGGAGACAGAGGTTGCAGTGAGCCAAGATCACACCACTGTACTCCAGCCTGGGCAACAGAGCAAGACTCTGTCTCAAAAAAAAAAAGGGGGGTCTTGTTCTGTTGTGTAGAGGTGTGATTATGGCTCACTGCAATGTCAAACTGCTGGATTCAAGTGATCCTCCTGAACAGCAGGGACTGTAAGTGCCTGACTTGAAACCCCAATTTTTTTTTTTTTTTTTTTTTTTTTTTGAGACAAAGTCTCATTCTGTCACCCAGGTGAGACTGTCTCAAAAAAAAAAAAAAAAAAAAAAAACATTAAATTTTCGACTAGGCACATTTTTAAAACAGAAGAAATCAATAATGTTGATTTTAATAATGTTTTATTTAACCCAATATATCCAAAATATTATCCTTTCAATATGTAATCAATAGGCCGGGCGCGGTGGCTCAAGCCTGTAATCCCAGCACTTTGGGAGGCCGAGACGGGCGGATCACGAGGTCAGGAGATCGAGACCATCCTGGCTAACACCGTGAAACCCCGTCTCTACTAAAAATACAAAAAACTAGCCGGGCGAGGTGGCGGGCGCCTATAGTCCCAGCTACTCCGGAGGCTGAGGCAGGAGAATGGCGTGAACCCGGGAGGCGGAGCTTGCAGTGAGCTGAGATCCGGCCACTGCACTCCAGCCCGGGCTACAGAGCAAGACTCCGTCTCAAAAAAAAAAAAAAATATGTAATCAATAAAAAGTATTAATGAGACATTTTACATTTTTTGTGTGTTTGGACCCAGTCTTTGACATCTTGTATTTTACACCCACAGCACATCTCAACTTGGATGAGTCACATTTCAAGGGCTCGGAAGCCACATGTGGCTAGGGGCTACTGAATTGGGCTGGGCAGCTGTCGTCCCTCCACCCGGGCGTCAGCTCCTAGGCTGTACCATGGAATTCTGCCCAACTGGATACTGGCTTGGAGCCTCAGGGGTCTCAGGACCCACCTAGCCACCCTGTGCAGGAGCTTTCCTGTTATACAGGATTATCATCTTTCTGGACGCTCCTGAGCAGGGGAGCCTAGCTCGTTCCCAGGCCCCACACCTGGCCTCCCTGAGGACTGACAGGAGGACGAGGCAGCTCCCCAAGGTCTTCATCTTGCAAATAACGATGGGTTTCCTTTAAAAATTCTTTTTTTCTTTTTTCTTTTTTTGTTTTGAGACAGAGTCTCACTCTGTCACCCAGGCTGGAGTGCAGTGGCGTAATCTCTACTCACTGCAAGCTCCACCTCCTGGATTCACACTATTCTCCTGCTTCAGCCTCCTGAGTAGCTGGGACTACAGGCGCCCACCACCACGCCCAACTAATTTTTGTATTTCTAGTAGAGACGGGGTTTCACCGTGTTGGCCAGGATGGTCTCGATCTCTTGACCTCTTGATCTGCCTGCCTTGGCCTCCCAAAGGGCAGTGATTACAGGCATGAGCCACTATGCCTGGCCTGAGCAAAATTCGTAATATAGTCAAATTTATGAAACCTGAAAAGTTGTCCCAAAGCCACAAATATTGTTTTTGTTTGGTTGGTTTTTGAGACGGAGTCTCGCTCTGTCGCCCAGGCTGGAGTGCAGTGGTGCAATCTCAGCTCACTGCAACCTCCGCTGCCTCCCAGGTTCAAGTGATTCTCTTGCCTCAGCCTCCTGAGTAGCTGTGGTTACATGCACCGGCCACCATGCCTAGCTAATTTTTGTATTTTTAGTAGAGACGGGGTTTCACCATGTTGGCCAGGCTGGTCTCGAACTCCTGACCTCAAGTGATCCACCTGCCTCAGCCTCCCAAAGTGCTGGGATTACAGGTGTGAGTCACCACGCCCGGCTGAATTTTCAAATCTTATTCATTTCCAGGTGTCCTTTCAGCCCCATATCTCCCATTTGAGCAGCACGATCTTGGGTCACTGCAGCCTTGACCTCCCAGGCTCAAGCCATTCTCCTACCTCAGCCTCCCAAGTGGCCGGGATTACAGGTGTGCACCACCACGCCCACCTAATTTTTGTATTTTTTGTAGAGATGGGAATTTTCCATGTTGCCCAGGCTGGTCTCAAACTCCTGGGCTAAAGCAATCCTCCTGCCTCGGCCTCCCAAAATGCTGGGCTTATAGGCATGAGCCATGGCACCCCGCCTGATTGTAGGATTTTAAACTATTTCATGCAACCACTTTCTTTTTTTTTTTTTTTTTTTTTTTTGAGACGGAGTCTCGCTCTGTCTCCCAGGCTGGAGTGCAGTGGCCGGATCTCAGCTCACTGCAAGCTCCACCTCCCGGGTTGACGCCATTCTCCTGCCTCAGCCTCCCGAGTAGCTGGGACTACAGGCGCCCGCCAACTCGCCTGGCTAGTTTTTTGTATTTTTTAGTAGAGACAGGGTTTCACTGTGTTCGCCAGGATGGTCTCGATCTCCTGACCTCGTGATCCGCCCGTCTCAGCCTCCCAAAGTGCTGGGATTACAGGCTTGAGCCACCGCGCCCGGCCCAACCACTTTCAAACCACACACACACATCCCTGGTGGCTCCAGGTCACACTTGTAAAACCATGTAAGGAGAGGCGTCAGGGATATAGAGAGAAAGAGATGCCGAGGATAGAGAAGAAGGCAGAGACAGAGGGAGAAAACCTCAGAGAGAACAAAGACGCAGAGGAGAATCCAAGAGGACAAACAGCCTGAGGCCCTTCCGAGCTGGCATCTTCCCAGAACGGCTCGGACCTAGCGGCTGTTAACACCACAGAGTCGCTCTGATGGGCATGAGGCGGATCCAACACTCCCCCTTATCCTCTTCCCCACCTGGTGGTGAGCTACATAGAAACCCTTTCATGGGGCCCTGCTGGTCCAGGCAGGATCCAGGGGCTGCCCTGGTGCTCACACCTCCCCTTCCCTTCTGGAGTCGGGAGCCAGGCTTTGGCCTGGATGCTCCTAGCGGTTGGGGGTCAGGGGCTGGGTGGGATGCAAGAGGGGGTCTAGGGTCTAGCATTTCCCAGCAGAGACGAAGAAGTACAGGCTTGCTTTGGAAGCAGCAGCAGAGGGCTCAGTTCCTAGGACAGCTGAAGACACACCCCGTGGGGCCCGGTGCCTCTTTCTCCCCATCCAGAGCCCCGCCCTGAAGAGCATGGCCCTGAAGATGCAACAGAAACCGGAGGCTGGCTCAGGTCCCTCTGGGCTGGGCTGGGCTGGGCCGGGCTGGGCAGGGCAGAGCTGGGCTGGGCTGGGCTGGGCTGGGCTGGAGCAAAATGCTGCCAGGGTAGTTCTCTGGGGAGAGGGGAATTGAAAAGGAAAAGCATCACCAAGGAGGGGGAGAGGGAGGGAGGCCGTGTGGTGCACACACACACACACACACACAAACACACACACACACACACACACAGCCTCCCTGAGAAGAGGCGCATTCCCCTCTCTGCTCTCTGAGATTTCTGTTGCTTCCCTGCCCATCTGTGCTCTCAGCAGCACCAGCAAAGTTGGCCTCAAACTTGAACGAAGCTGCAGGCTCCAGCATCTTTCTGGGAGCGCCGCAGGGGCAGCAGGCAGGCCACAGCCTCTGAACTCAGCTGGCCTTGAGAAGCCCAGCCCAACCCTTCCAGCACCCAGCCCGCCCTCCGTCGCCTGAGGGACGCCTCTGCCCCCGACCTGGAGGCCCTCAGTCAGGGCTGGGCAATGGTGCACTGAGGTCCCTCCAGAGTCCCTTGTCCCAGCCTGGAGCTGCAGCCGTGCAAGGCCCAGGCCCACATGGCCAATCTTGTGCAGCCCGAGCTTCCTTCAGCACAGGAGCCAGGCTCCACCGCACCCCTGGACCTGCCGGAGATGGAGAAACTCCTCACCAAGGCAGAGGACAAGGAAGACAAGACCCTCAATCTGTCCAAGACCCTCGCGGGGCCTCTGGACCTGGAGCAGAATGGCCACGGCCTGCCCTTCAAGGCCATCTCCGAGGGGCACCTGGAGGCCCCACTGCCTCGGTCCCCCTCCCGGGCCAGCTCAAGAAGGGCGTCCTCCGTCGCCACCACCTCCTATGCCCAAGACCAAGAAGCCCCCAGAGATTACCTCATCCTGGCCATCGTCTCCTGCTTCTGCCCCGTCTGGCCCCTCAACCTCATCCCCCTCATCATTTCCATCATGGTAAGTGCTGCTCTTTGTTCCAGGGGCGGGGGCTGGGCCCAGGGCTGTGTGTCCCCCCGGCAGGCACCAAATACACTGCCCAGGGTGTGGAGAAGAAACACCTGGGAGTGGGGGGCTTGAGGAAGATTCCTTTCCTCGCTGGCCTCCTCCTTCCCCTTCAAGAGGGGCCCTGGGGCCGGGAGAGCTCCCGTTCTGTTCTCTCATCTCCGCTTCTGGGCATCAGAGCTTGACTTTGTGCCTATGGCTGCTGGGGAGGGGCACTCAGGGAGCTGCCTGGTGGTACATCCCTCAGGGCAGAAAGATACCCAGCTGGGGGTCTTACTGTTTTAGGAGGGACGGGCGGTTCCAAAGAGTCATCACCGAGTAGGGCTGTCTCAGCAGAGGTTGCACCAGACGGGGATCCCAGGGCCCCGTGTGTCCTCCCAGGCCACCTGGACATGCTCCCAGCCTCTGCCAGCTCCAGTTTCCAAGAGTCACAGCGGCTTCCCTGCAGTGGGCTGAGGGCTCCTGGGCCAGGTTCCCCCGAGGGGCGTACAAAGCGGGGAGAGCTGGCAGGCTGCTCCTCCCCAGGCGTGGAGCTCCCTCCGGAGCCCTCTGCACCTCCTCAGCTGGGCTGATTTCAGCCTCCGTCTTCACGGCAGGGGAGGTCTGGGTCACAAGTGAAAACTGTGAGAGCCAGAGGGCATGGCCCGCCATGCCCAGGAAGGGGCATGTGGCCGGGTCTTCACGTCTATGGGGTTTTGAATGGTCTTAGACTGTACCCAACCCAAGCCATTTGGGTAGAGCTACTTATAAAGGATTTCATAGAAAATGTCAGCAGATATTGGCAAGTGACTTTTGAAGTCGAGGAAGAAGAGAGAGTTATGAAAGGGCGGGGAGAGGGAGAAGCAGGGCCCAGCAATGATTTCAGAGTGAGGTCAGGGGCAGGGGGCAGAAAACTGCTGGCCCAGGCTGGTCAGGGCCAGAGGACTGGTGGGGGGTGGGGGGCGGGCAGCTCTCCCAAGAGGGACTCCCTGCAGCGTCACCATCACCGAACCCCCAGGAGCTGTCCTCTGAGAAAGCTCCTATTTCTTCAAACAACTCTGTCTACTTCAGTGAGGCCCAGCCTCCCACCAGGGAAGCCTTCCGCATCCCACCAAAGCTAGTACCACATTTCAGGACATCAGGGGGCCCTGGAGGGACTTGGCATGGGCTCTGGAAGCAGGGCTGGGCAGGGGCCTTCTGGGCAGCTCTCTGTGATGCCTGCTGTACCTGGGGACTGCTTATAGGTAGAGCCAGGACCCAGGGGTGCAGCCAGTGTCTCTGGGCAGGGCCCACCTCTTGGTTACAGGGAAAGGCCTCAGGAGGGGAGACCAGATTTGGGGAGGGAGCCACCCAAGGGCTCAGGAGAAAACAGCTGCTGGAATCCATCTCCAGGTAGGGTGGCAGGGTGCAGGCTGGGCAGGACCTGCCTCTGTCAAAGGGAGCCTAAGTCTAAGGCGAGAAGACCACAGAAACCTGCCCCCGTGCGTTTCTACTTTTTTTTTTTTTTTTTTTTTCCAAGACAGAGTCTTGCTCTGTCACCCAGGCTGGAGTGCAATGGTGCGATCTTGGCTAACTACAACCTCTGCCTCCCAGGTTCGAGCAATTATCTTGCCTCAGCCTCCTGAGTAGCGGGGATTACAGGCACCCGCCACTACACCTGGCTAATTTTTGTATTTTTAGTAGAGACGGGGTTTTACCACTTTGGCCAGATCATGAATGACCTCATGATCTGCCCACCTTGGCCTCCCAAAGTGCTGGGATTACAGATGTGAGCCACTGAACCTGGCCTGTTTCTACATTCTTTAAAGGTTTTGTTTTGTTTTGTTTTGTTTTGTTTGAGACGGAGTCTCGCTCTGTCGCCCCAGCTGGAATGCAATGATGCGATCTCGGCTCACTGCAAGATCCACCTCCCAGGTTCATGCAATTCTCCTGCCTCAGCCTCCCAAGTAGCTGGCATTACAGGCGCCCGTCTCTGTGCCCGGCTAATTTTTGTATTTTTAGTAGAGATGGGGTTTTGCCATGTTGGCCAGGCTGGTCTCAAACTCCTGACCTCAGGGAATCCTCCCATCTCGGCTTTGCAAGGTGCTGGGATTACAGGCGTGAGTCCACCACACTCGGCCCATTTTACGGTTTTTGAGTCAGGTCTGATGAATACTGGGCTGGACACAAGGAATACAGTGCTGACCAGACACCGTTGCCAATTCCCCAGAGCCTCCAGTCCTGCGGGGAGGAAGTCTTTTTTTTTTTTTTTTTTTTTTTTTTTTTTGAGACGGAGTCTCGCTCTGTCACCCAGGCTGGAGTGCAGTGGCCGGATCTCAGCTCACTGCAAGCTCCGCCTCCCGGGTTCACGCCATTCTCCTGCCTCAGCCTCCTGAGTAGCTGGGACTACAGGCGCCCGCCACCGCGCCCGGCTAATTTTTTGTATTTTTAGTAGAGACGGGGTTTCACTGTGTGAGCCAGGATGGTCTCGATCTCCTGACCTCGTGATCCGCCCGTCTCGGCCTCCCAAAGTGCTGGGATTACAGGCTTGAGCCACCGCGCCCGGCCTTTTTTTTTTTTTTTTTTTTGAGACAGAGTCTAGCTCTGTCGCCCAGGCTGGAGTGCAGTGGCCGGATCTCGGCTCACTGCAAGCTCCGCCTCCCGGGTTTATGCCATTCTCCTGCCTCAGCCTCCCCAGTAGCTGGGACTACAGGCGTCTGCCACCTCGCCTGGCTAGTTTTTCATATTTTTTAGTAGAGAAGGTGTTTCACCGTGTTAGCCAGGATGGTCTCGATCTCCTGACCTCGTGATCCACCCGTCTCGGCCTCCCAAAGTGCTGGGATTACAGGCTTGAGCCACCGCACCCGGCCGGGAAGGAACTCTTAAACAGATTCTTACGACATATTTCAAGAAGCACCCATGCTAGACATAAACTTAAGGTAATTAGCTGGGAAAGTCATTCAAACGGCTCTTCTCCCCGGCATTCCTGTCTGCAAAATGGGCATAACCGTAATGCCTGCACGAGAGAGCCGTGAGGGGGTGAAATGAGACGGGCCACACCCAGGGCTTCAGAACAACACCGGGAGGGTGTGGGGCTCTGACAGGGAAAGGGTATGGTTTTTTGGGGTTTTTTGTTATGTTTTGTTTTGTTTTTGAGACAAGTCTCGCTCTGTTACCCTGGTTGGAGTGCAGTGCCACAATCTCGGCTCACTGCAAGCTCCGCCTCCAGGGTTCAGGCAATTCTCCTGCCTCAGCCTCCCAAGTAGCTGGGACTACAGGCCCGCCACCTCACCCGGCTAATTTTTTGTATTTTTAGTAGAGACGGGGTTTCACCGTGTTAGCCAGGATGGTCTCAATCTCCTGACCTTGTGATCCGCCCGCCTCAGCCCCCAAAGCGCTGGGATTACAAGCTTGAGCCACCGCGCCCGGCCCCAGGGTGATGGCAGCGGGGAGCCTCCCGGGGGAGGTGGGAAGGCATCGTGGTGTTTTAGAAATGGCTTTATTGAGATATAACTTGGCCAGGTGCAGTGGCTCACGCCTGTAATCCCAGCACTCTGGGAGGCCAAGGTGGGTGGATCACGAGGTCAGGAGATCAAGACCATCCTGGCAAACACAGTGAAACCCCATCTCTACTAAAAAATACAAAAAATTACCTGCGCGTGATGGCGGGTGCCTGTAGTCCCAGCTACTTGGGAGGCTGAGGCAGGAGAATGGCGTGAACCTGGGAGGCAGAGCTTGCAGTGAGCCGAGATCATGCCACTGCACTCCAGCCTGGGCGACAGAGCGAGACTCCATCTCAAAAAAAAAAAAAAAAAAAAAAAAAAAAAAAAGAGATATAACTCACATACCATACAATGCACCCATCTAAAGTGTATTCACAGACAGGTGCAACCACAGCCACAGTCAATTTGGAACATTTGCCTCATATCCAAAAGAAACCCTGTACCCTGGCCGGGCGTAGTGGCTCATGCCTGTAATCCCAGCACTTTGGGAGGCCGAGGTGGGTGGATCACCTGAGGTCAGGAGTTCGAGACTAGCCTGGCCAGTATGGTGCAACCCTATCTCTACTAAAAATACAAAAAATGTAGCCAGGCGTGGTGGCGGGTGCCTGCAATCCCAGCTACTTGGGAGGCTGAGGCAGGAGAAACACTTGAACCCGGGAGGCAGAGGTTGTAGTGAGCAGAGATCCAGCCACTGCACTGCAGCCTAAGTGACAGAGTGAGACTCCATCTCAAAAAAAATAAAAGAAAGAAACCCTGTCCCCTTTAGCCATCACCCTCCATCCCTGACCCTCCCAGCCCCAAACAACCACTCATCTCCTCTCTGTTTCTCTAGATCTGCCTATTCTGGACATTAAATGATAAATGGAATCATACAGTACGAGGCCTTGTGTTCCTGGCCTCGTTCGCTTTGCATAACGTCTTCAAGCATCATCTCTGCCTTGGCAGCACGTCGTAGGCTTTGCAGCCGAGAGGAGTGTGGTTGGATCTCCATTTTGGTGGATCGGTCTGGGGCAGGGTGAGAGGAGGGGATGAGGCTGGATATTTAGCAGAGGGGACCCTTGTAGGAATGCAAGCGAGAGGCGAAGAGGCCGGGCCCAGGGCCAGGGACAGAGACAGAGGGGCTCTGACACCCTCTCAGAGTTGGATGCACTGACCATTTATTCATTCAGTCGACCTGAATGGCAACTTGCTTGTGTTGAGGGAACTAAGTAGCAGAGGACAGTCAGGGCCCCGTGAATGAATGTGCCTCTTTTATGAACCAGGCACTGTGTTGACATTTGGGAAGCAGATGGATCGGATAAGTAGACAGTCTGGCTGACATGGCAGAGGGCTGCAAGGGTGTTGCGGGAGAGGGAGGCGGCAGGGACTTGCTCTAGGAATTTAAGTTCTGGCCAGGTGCGATGGCTCATGCCTGTAATCCCAGCACTTTGGGAGGCCAAGGCGGGTGGATCACTTGAGGTCAGGAGTTCAAGACCAGCCTGGCCAACATGGTGA